AATTTTTTGAAAATGCCTTTTCGCCTTTGCAGCGCAGCACAGACATTCAACGTCTTATGGACGAGGTTCTGCGTGGACTCCCTTTTTGTTTTCGATTACATTGGCGACATTCTGATAGCTAGCGAGGACGCTGTCTCGCATAAGCAACACCTACACGAAGTTCTTCAACATTTGTCCCATTACGGATTTCGTCTAAACCTGGACAAATGTGTCTTCGGGATCGAACCATATAGAATTTTTAGGACATCACGTCGATGCAAATGGAATTGCCCCTTTAACTGAAAAGATTAAAGCTATCTGAGTTTCCGTCCCTGTTTCTATTAAACAGTTGAGGCGGCTTTATAGGGATGATCAACTTTTACAGGAGGTTTATTCCAAACTGTTCTAACATCCTGACTCCTTACCAATTTATTACAGAAGAAGAAGAATAAGACTATTATACTTGAGAATGAAGCCTTGGGCGCCTTTCGAGCAGCTAAAACCGCTCTAGGCAATTTTTCTAAGCTTAGTTTCTTAGAGGGCGACCCTCAATGGGATATCTACTGACCACTGGCGCTAAGCGAAACAGCAATAGCGCGGTCATTGAACAAGTCCTCCTTCTAAACGTAGACCTATAGCGTTCTTTTCCGCTAAACTTTCTCCTGCCCAGTCACGCCACAGTACCTTTTCTCGTGAACTGTTGGCTATATTTCGTGCCATTAAGCATTTCAGACACCTCCTCGAAGGTAGGTCCTTCGTTATATTTACGGACCACAAACCTTTAACGTCCGTTATGTCCACTAATTCGGACAAATACACTGCGAGGAGATCAGATACCTGGACTATATATCACAATTTACTACTGATATTAGGTACATTAAGGGTTCGGATAACACTGTTGCCGATACCCTATCTCGTACTGAGATGTTCGTCGTGCATACTGGATGCACTCAGTCAAGATTTGATCGCCGACGAACAGGAAGCGGACATAACTCTGAAGCATGTGTTATCAGACACTTCTTTAGAACTTCAGAAATGTCCAGCTCCTTTTAGTAACAAGGTCTTATACTGTGATGTAAAATCCAAATCACCAAGACCTTATATTCCTCCGTCTCTTCGTGAACAGGTTTTTGACCACCTACGGACTCTCACACCCTAGCAAAGAGCCACAGTTAAGTTAATTTCGGACCGTTTAGTTTGGCCGAATATGAACGTCCACATTAGCGAATGGGTTAATACTTGTTTACAATGTCAGAAGTGTAAGGTGCATAGACACACAAAATCTCCCGTGGGCACTTTCAGTGAGCCTGATGCCGTTTTACTAATATACACCTGGACTTAGTTGGGCCCTTACCAACCTGCCACGGTTATTCCTACCTTCTAACTATAGTGGATCGTTTTTCCCGATGGCCTACTGCCATCCCTGTTAAAATACCACTGCTGTGACTGTCCAAAAAGCTATTTTAGCGACTGGATTTCGATTTTGGAACTCCTAAAAGTGGTTACTACAGATAGAGGAGCACAGTTCCAGTCGTGTCTTTTCAGGGAATTCACTGAACTCCCTTGGTGCAAAGCACATACGTACTACAGGCGTATCACCCCTGTGCTAATGGCCTGGTGGAGCGATTCCATCGCACCCTTAAGGCCGCTATCAATCGAAGCATACGAGAATAATAATTGGTCGATGAATTACCCCTCATCCTTCTATCGTTACGAAATATTCTTAAGGATGACTTGAAATGCTCCCCCTGCAGAGCTTGTATTTGGTACCATTATCTTTACCTGGCCAATATTTTTCGCCAGCTGTGACCACACCACCAGTTTCTTCCTCTTTTATTCAGGACTTACGCCTTAAAAATGGCAAACTTATGCTATATACACCACCGCGGCACTGCGAAAGTGATATCTATTTACCGCGACCAGCTAAAAGACTGTGAATTTGTATTCGTGCGTAACGACTCTGTTAGCGGCCTCTCTACCCCACACAGGCCCATTCCGGCGTTCTTAAAGCAGCGGACAAATATTTCCAAATACAAAAGGTATTCACACCGACAACGTTTCAATAGATCGGTTGAAACCTGCCTTTATAGAGAAACCGTGCTGTCTCATACTACTTCCCAATCAACTCCGCAAGTTCAGGAGAATTTTTAAGACACCTGTTTCTCTCGACAAGCCTAAGTGTACCAGCTCCGATTAGAAGAGTCACCTTTCGAAGAAATTTGAAACATTCTACTATTATTAGTCAAATGTCTGCGACATTTGATCCAGGGGAGAGCTGTGTGGAATAATGTATTATTCCATCTCTCGACATTTTCGCTGGCAGCGAAGTTGCCTCCCTTTCTCCGACACTTTCGTGTGTGTGAGCGCCGCCGCTTGACACCCCCTTTCCCCTCGTTCGGTCTAATACAGTAGTAACTGTTTTGGTCACCAACCAAGCGACCTGTTATGCAAATTAGATTTTTGAAATCTTCCCTTGAAAAATTTGTGGCGTCAACGACAAACTGTTGTTTCAGAAAATTTCAGTTGGTGTTCCAGACTCTGAGCTGAGCAGACTCATTTTTATCCACGTCAATATTTCAGTTCGACTGACGAAGGATATCTTACTATGCAATACCAAATAATTAATTCTTCGTCCTTCTGGCTGGTCATTCAAGAATCCTTTTCAGACGATGCAATACCAAATAATTAATTTTTTCGTCCTTTTGGCTCGTCATTCATAATCATTTTTCCGAGACGATGCAAATACCAAATAATTAATTCTTCGTTCCTTTTGGCTGGTCATTCAAGACCCTTTTCCGAGACGATGCAATACCAAATAATTAATTCTTCGTTCCTTTGAGACTCGTCATTCAAAAAGTCATACTCGAGACGATGCAGAACATACAAAACAATCAATCGTCCACTTTGGGTCTCGTCAGAAATCTGTTTTGAACCAGTACAAAAAAAAAAGAAAAAAAATATTACATAACATTCACTCCACATTACCTAAACTCGCAGTGAGTATTTTTTTTCCTTGTATGAATATTACCATGTACATTGACTTACTGGAACCTTTTTTTTCTTCAAGAACCTTTTTCCCGCCTTTAGCCATCTTGTTTTTTATTTTGGCGCCGGAACTATTTCATTGGTCCCTACCACGGGACAAATTACTTGTTTTTCCTGCATTCAATAAAATTACTCTTGTTGAAACCCAGTCTTTTTCAGTCATTCCGAGGAGGCTATCTTGTTAATATATTTTTTTTATGCACGTGTGGATTTTTTCACATTTCTTCAATTTGTTCATTCACGCATTTTTACTTTGCTTGTAGGCTCGGTAGTTTAGTGTGGTGTCTGGCACAAGGCCACTCAGTATAATCCAGCACTGCACCCTACCGGGTCCGCAACATATATTATTTAATGAAACACACACCCACATATATATATATATATATATATATATATGTGTGTGTGTGTGTGTATAAAAGGGTACCTAGACTTTATGAATTTAAGTACAGTACTAGATTGGTGGTAAGGTCTCATCATTTTACAGCTGAAATGGCTAGATGTAACCCTAAGTTCTATGCTAGCAGTTTCTTCTATTGCACTTCTCACATGTGAAACTCTCTTCCAGCTTCTTGCTTCCCTGTTATTTTGATCTTCAAAAATTTAAATGCAATGTCAATCGTTATCTTCTGTCTTCTTAATTCTTGTTCTTTTATTGTCCTCTCTTCTTAATAGTAGTCTTTCTCATTTCCTTTAATACACAGTACCCTCTTGTATTCTAGTGGCTTTATTGCCTTGCTTGGGAGTGAAATGATTAAAAAAAAAGAATAAAAAACATATATATAATTCCAGCAATAAGAATATTATTTTAATTTGATGAAGTCCTTTTGAAGGACATAACGCACACATTATATAAAATTTGTTCATTTTGTCATTCATAAATCAATGCATACAATGAAACAAACAAGACCCACAACTAATAGTAAATAATAGTAGAGGACAGACAAAGAGATTAACCAGTTGGTTCTGGCTAAGAAGCTAGCTCTTGAAAAATTTTTATCCTCAGATTTTTTTTTAGTTCTTAGCCTGATAGTGAACCAGTTTTTCCAGACAATTTGTTTATGGTGGTGAAGGAAGTGCAAGCAATTATTATCATGGTGTGACCTACAAGATTTGTCATTGATTTTATGAAGCTAACATAATCATAATCTGTGAATGATAACTCACTCAATCCTCTCCATGCTGAATAGTACTTGAGGCGATAATGAGAGAAAGCAACCTCTGTATTTTAATTCCACCATTGCTTTGTCTCAAGTCCAGGATGAGAAAGGAAAAGTGTTGGGCATAGGGTTAACAACTTAATCCCATAAAACCTCTCTTTGCTACAGAAATGATGATGAGAGGTTACATTCTTCCCAAAATCAAATCTTCTGATCCATGTTACACTAATTTCCGCTGCTAACTGGATGTGAATGCTTCGAATGTCCAAATCTCAACTAAAAATTCATCAGCTGCGCAAGGCTCAGCACATATCTTCTTACACATTCAAAGAAAAATAAAAGTGATACAATCCAGAATTTCTACTCAATAGCACCCACTCCTGCCAAAAGAAACAAAATGAAAACTGGAGCCGATTTGAACCTCAAAAAGGAAATAAAAGCCCATCAAAGACACATTTGGGGTTGGACAGCATTTTGACCCGAGTTGGCACACTCGTCAAAAAGCAACCTCCTATCTCCAATGGTATCAGACTTGACCAGCTCGCCAATGCCATCACAACAGTAAATCTTATCTTCCCTTTTCTTCTGTAAGCCTCACCAGACCCCACTTTACAACTCCACATCTTTTTTCTATGATTTTTCATTTATTGTATTTTATATTTATACAATTGTTTATTGTCTTAAATTATTGTTTTTCTTTCTCCATTTTGCCACCATATGTTTAGTAATGCAAAACACACATTCATAACGTAACAAAGAAAAAGAAACCTCAATTATTAATGATAAAAGGAGATAAATTTCTTTTTGGTTCTTTCTTACCATTATTGTTCACCGTCTTTGTCTTCTCTTTCTGCACAGTCTGCTGGAATGCCAAATATCTCAATTGTCACATAGGGATCTGTAATATCTCCTTTGGCACCAGAACCTCGAGGTTTGGGAAAATTCTGTCCACTGATTATCTGGAAATATATAATTGTCCATAAGTAACTGAAATGTGGTAAACATGTTAACAACTGCACAACAAAAGCAATACAACCATATGTACATACACACTAATGCCATAAAATGAACACATGATGTCTACACAAACAATGAAAACAAAACACAGAATTTAAAAATCAAAATAACTCCACATTATTCCCTTTCCAAAATTTATGATGAAGTTACATAAATAGAAAAACATATCAAATTTATAAAGATTTTCCTATTTGCTCCTTAATTAATCATTTTGTTGGATTCAATCCATATTTTCAACTCATCACTTAATTTTTAATGAGTAACATAGTCAGTTATGTGTCATGCGTGATATATGCTTAGGCGATCATGTATCTTTCAATACATGAAAAATGAGGCAGATTTTTTTCCTGCAGTAGGTTGCCATTTCTTTCTGCGGTAGACCAGTTAACAGACAAGTCTATAGAACCCAGTCTGTCCTGCTATTTACCCATAGCTGGTGGGAGAAGAAGAGGATTCATACCTTTCCCAATGATATTAGCACATAAGTGAATGTAATGGATTCAAATGGAATTTGAACTCAGCTCTCTAATTCCTCAATCCAAGCCACTATCCATTACTCCACCGTACCTCCAAATGAGTAACACAGGATTCCAAAATAAAAATGTTTTTCTAAAAAGAAAATGGCTTTTATAATATCATCTAGTCAGGTTTTTAATCAAGTTAGTTTTGTTCAGTTAGATAATTCCTAAAAATAAAAAAAATTCATGCATGTGAATTTTTTTTAAAAACCTATATTCAAACATAAGAGAGAAAAAAACAAAAAAACAACATCCAATGGTGCTAGGTTCATCTGCACTGTCAAACCTGAAAGCTGAATGCCAGTTCTCACTGTGTAACAATCAGACATACATTAAGAAATTAAAAAAAATGAAAACAAAAAAAAAACAAACAAAGAATACTTACTCTGACATGCAGTGACTGGGGAGTGACATCAGGTAAAACGTCTTTGGTATTGGCACTGAAGTAAGAAATCTCTTCTCTCATCACAGCAGGTTTTAATACATAACCACACCCACCATTCTTCTGGAACCATCCATTGTATAAATCCATCATTAGTCCTGGTGTTTGGTAATTTACCGAGACTAAAATGAAAGAGGAGGGGGAAAAAAGAAATCATTTAGATTTGTTTGGGATTTAGTAATATTGCAATAAAAATCATACTGGCAGTAAAGAAAATGACACAATTATTTATACATGAATCAGCACTTCTGCCCATGATCAGTATAGTATCTGTGTATTTTGTCTACGATCAAAGTGTTGCTTTTCAGTGCTTCTTTCTCTGAGTTGTGTAGTATCTGTGTACTTTGCCTGGGATTGGTCTAGTATCTGTACATTTTACCTAGAGCCAGTGTAGTATTTGTGGACTCTGTTGAGGATCAAAGTATTTCTCCTTCTGCCTAGGATCTGTGCACTTTGCCTACAACCAGAATAGTGGTGTCAAGGAAATAGTCATTCTTTGACACTGTTTTTGCATAGATGCAAAGAATAAATATTGCCAAAACTTTGATGCCTCAACTGTAATATAATTCACATTTGTAAGTTGGTGATCTTTTTCTTATTTATTTATTTTTCTTATTTACATTATTTATACTCAGACTATTGTCCCCATCCTTCTTGTTATAATCACAATGTTTCATCTGTTGTGCTCTTTGATCTTCCTCAAGTGCTTGTTAATCTGGGTCACCTTTGTCTTCTTTCTCTGATAGTAGAACTGTTGAAATAAAACTTAAAATTTATCTTTGTGGCTGAGAGTACTTGCTTCATTGAAAATATTAGTTGGAGAGAAAATGAGTGTTTGAAAAAGGTATGAGTTTTCTTCTTGTCAAACAAGAAAGCCATTCTGTCTGATCACCACCAACTACACAAAAAGGCAGTAAGAATATTTTAACTCTAACATTTTGCAGATTCTGTTGATGCTGACATTGTCAGTTGGCTTATCATACATCACATAAATTATATGACCAGATATTGTGTTCTGCCTTCATTTGACCATATGTAAACTTATGACTTTCTAAAGTCAAGCCATACTGTTGAATATATTGTAATATAAAAATCAAACAATTTTTTTTCTTTCTACCTTCTGGTAAAAATGTTTAATTTATTTATGTCAATTTTCTGTGTTGCATGGACGTTTTAAGAATTACATATCAAGTGAGTATAAAAAAAATTTAAGCATCCTATAATTTTTATGATGAAAGGACTTGATTAAAATTATCAAAATTTTTGCAGTTACAGAGGGGTAATAAAAAAAAACCATACTGGTAAAAATTATTTATCTTTAATATAAGGACATCAAACAATATTTATGATAATTTTGATGATAAAATCAGTCAAGTTAAAAAGAAAATCACTGTTGAATCAATAAATAGGTTATTGAGATGTACTGAAATGAATTTTCATTGATGGACTCTGGTTTCATTTATCGATTCATAACTCTGGAAAGAACCATGATTTCTAGGAAGAAATCCAGACAATAACCCAAGGAGTGACAGGGAGACTGTTGGAGAGACAGTTGGAAATACAGCAATTGGGGAGAGTCAGGTTAAAACCCTTACTTGCATTTTCTGTGAGGAGGAACAGACCAAAGTTATGAGCAATCATAACACATCATAGCCTCAAAGTACCATAAGAGTAGGGTGAGGAAGAGAGTCCCAATAGGATGGATACAATGGAAATGGGTGAAAATGCTCAAAGATATAATGATGCATAGGTGGGAAGGCATGAAAAAATCTACATGGCTTGGAGATCCAAAATGCTTGCTATGTGCTCTGGTCTCAATGTGAGTTTCAGGTTTTACACATTTTACTCACTATATCTGTAACCCGACCCATTTCTGAAACTGTAAATTTCAATTTAAAAATCCAACGACATTTGTATTATTTACAAAAATTAGTTTCCTTACCAATGCATTCTTTTTCAAAGCAGCTCAAACAGCAGAAGCCTAATTCTTGATTTTAGTCGTTATTGCTGTTACCATAGTAGGACATTGCAACATAACCAAGAAATTAAAATACACTATCATCTGATGATAGGACTCACTTTCAGTGGCAGGACAAACATTTTGCTTGGCAAATTAAATTGCCTATAGAATGCTGATGGTTACATACTGAAACATAGTTGCTCTCTACAAACTAGGTCAATACAAACACTCATATTTTTGTTACAATGTGATTAAAACTTGATTATTTCAAAAGAATATAGAAAACAAATAGATTGTCCAAATTAATGCAAAGAAAATCATGAACTTTCTGCAAAGTAGCAATAATTATATAAAAGCGGTTTTGACTAATCAATCAAACAGTTAATGTGTTTGTGTAATACTAGAGAAAATGCATTCAGACGTGTCTCATGTGTAAAGTATCCCAAAAAGAAAATGTCGGCTATACAAGTCATATATTTAAGAAAAGATAGATCTTGGAGTCAGATACTTTTATGAGACTCTTTTTTGCACCTATGCAAATTAAATTTGACCTGTCACTTGGTTTATAAAAAGTGCTTAACAATGCAACAGCAGCAGTGTAACTGTAGTAGTGAACAGAAGACACATGTATTGGATTGTTTGACTTATGCTGTTTGGTGAAAGAAATGAATTAGAAAATTTTATTCCAAACAAGAAGAAACTGATGACATTGATACTGAAAGAAACTGGTTTGTAAGAAGGGAAAGATTTTTTTTTTTTTAACTAAAAGTTTAAAATATTTTTCAAGCATTTTTTTTTTTTGGAATAAAAATATGAAGCATACTGATCATGACAAGTAGAGAAAACACTAGAAGTGAATAATTACCTATTTGACAGCCACAATTCCAGAGATCGAGTGGGTTGTAATTACTAGAATCTACCCTCATTCCATTTGGGTAGATACGAGACAAAAAACGCTTGTTGTGGTTCACAAACTCCTCAGGTCCTTGCAGGGCCATTTTCACTGCTTGGGATTCACTGATTGAACACATATGCCAATATTTCTCTGGAAGTGAAAAAATATACCCAACATTTGAAAATATTTATTAGGTATGTGCACAAGTTTATAATATTCTTAATTCTTATTCAAGATTTCATCAATTTACAGTTGAGATGGCTAGATGTTGCCATAAATTCTATGCTAACAGTTTCTTTTCTTGCACTTCTCGCTTGTGAAACTCCTTTTCAGCTCCATGCATTCCAGCCAATTTTAATCTGCAAAAATTTAAATGCAATGTCAATCACTATCTACTGTCCTCCTGATTACTCTTTTCTTTTCCTGCTCATTATTAATGTTTCTGTTCCTAATTCTTCCACACCCTGTAACCCTTTGTGTTTTAGTGGCTTTATTGCCTTGCATGGGGTAACACTGATTAAGAAAGAAAAAGTAGATTTATTGCTTAACAGCACTGTATATTTTAATAAAACTTCATACAATAAATTTTGTCTCCAAGATAAAATATCAAGCAATAATTTTTATATTAAAAATATTAAAAGTAAAAAAAATAAACTATTAAAAGAGATCTTTGATTATATAAACAAAAAGTAGAGGACAAAATATTCTTGGCATATTTTTTGCTTTTTATTTGGTTGACATGTGAGAGCACAAAGTTCTATGGAAATCACAAAATTTTCAGTTGATTCTGCAACCTGGTTTCTATAGCTTTGGGTAGCAACTGTCCTAGGAGAAGGAATACTGTGAATTCAAAACACCTAACTATGGGTTAAATAGTAAGATAGTCTGGTCTCTGTAGCTTTGGTTGGCAACCAGTCTAGAAGAAGGTGGACTCTGTATTTAAAACCAAATGTCGCCCTGCTGAAGCACATTCTTTACAGCTAAGGAATGGACCATGAAATTCACATTTCATTTGATGATCTTGACTATTGTCAACCTCCATCAAAATATATATATATATATATATATATATAATAATAATAAAGAGAAAGAAATGTTATTTCTAAAAACGCCTGGACAAAATAGTGAAAAACATTAACGTAATGGATAAAATTTTAATGAAATCTGACAAAACGAGAAACTTTTATAAAATAGCAGCAAAGGAGTACAACAATCTAATTAATAAGGATTTACATAAGAACTATAAAAAGGCAAATAATAATTACCTCAACATGGTGGAAAACATTAACATTAGTAGTTAAAATATCATAGATAAACTGAAGATTAGGAACAGAGTAGGTAAACTTACTGAAAAAGAGTGCTATATAAGCATAAAGGACCACAAACCAGATTTCAAAGCTAGTTCAACTACAAGGATAATAAACTCAACAAGACCTGAAATTGACAAAATAAGTAAAAAATCCTAGAAAGGGTTAATCAACAATTTAAAGAAAACATAGGGTTGAAACCAAAGAAGTAACAAACTGGTTTACTAATATCAAAGATAAAACAAACTGTACACTAATGCAATTTGATATTGAAAATTACTATCAATCAATATCAAAAGAACTGTTGGACTTTGCTACCCAATACACGGACGTAAGAGAAGAAGAAAAGAGCATTATTATAAATGCATAAAAATCGGTACTAATACATAAGGGTGAACAATGGATAAAAAATTCTTACGACCAATTTGACATCACAATGGGATCACTAGACTCAGCTGAGTCTTCTGACCTTATAAGTCTTTTTATATTATACAATATCACAGCATATTGTGAAATTAATATAACTGACATTGGATTATATGGAGACAATGGACTTATGGTTATAAAGAACTATACAAACTTTAAAAATTGATAAAACTAAAAAGATATTATATAGAGAATTGAAATGCCTGAACTTAAAAATTACTGTTAGCACTAAATTGAAAAAGGTGAACTTCTTTGTTATAACATTAGATTTAATGAAAAATGTATAAAAAAACCAATACTAATCCTTTGTATATACACTCTAAATCTAATCATCCTCCAATTATAATTAAGCATATACCTTTATCTATCAAAAAGATAATAAGTACAAATTCAGCAAATGAGAAAATTTTTCTATGAACCTATTAATTTCTATAGTAAAGCTTTAAAAGATAGTGGCTACAAAAGCCTAAAACTAACTTACATAAAAAAAGAAAATGGAAAGCACAGAAAAAAACAGAAGTAGAAAAATAATTTGGTATACACCCCCATACAACCAAATGGTAAAGATGTTAGAATTTGTTTAATAACACTTTCTAACTTGAATATTTCTTGGTGGGTGTATGGATGTGTCTTTGTGTGTGTGTGTGTGTATGGTCACTTGTGTTTGCCTTTCATTGTGTGTGTATGTTGTGTTTTTTTTTAAGGGTTGTGGAAATATTTTCTGTCTCATCGTTTTTTTTGCGTGTTTATTTATCTAAATATGTCTGCATGTTTGTGTATTATAATCTGATTGTGTATGTATTGTCTTTTGCAAGATTTCATCCTTCCTTGCCCATGTCTTCATTTCAAATGTATCTAAGTTGTAACGGAGTTCAGAACAGCATTAGATCTTAACGTTTATTTCAACTTAATTTCAATAAAAAGAAATAAATAGATAGAAAAACATATGTATTTTTTCCATCAGTTTCTTTAAATAATTTTAAACTTAATATAGATTAAATTTAAAATTGCTAATTTTTAATTTCATAGTATAATTCAATATTTATTAGTTAAAATGAATTCTATTTTAGTCTAACCCTAACATTAAAGCATTAGATAATTATTATAACCTAAATCTGTTGTCAAGTTTTTTGAATTCTCATATACATGTATTTTGATTGGTCATTCAGCTTATGTAACAGCAAGGGGTGTTTGATTGATTAGAACCTTTTAAAACCCTTTATTCTACATTCAACACCATCATTTGATAAGACATCAGAAATGTTGAAACAAAATGGCTATTTTTGTAGTGATTTTATAACATATTTATGTTATAATTTTCAAATAAATAATTATATATATATATATATATGCACACACACACACATATATATATGCACATATATATACATAAACACATATATATATATACATATGTTGATAATAATATAGATAGAGAAAATAAAATTAATAATTTAAGATTATAACTGATGTAGACAAGAAACCTACATAAATGATCATATACAAAAAACATCAATGCATGCATGAATGTATACATGTTAGTACACATAAAAAAAAACCACATGGTTTTACTGCTTAAAATGACTAGAAAAATTTCAATGTATCTATTTTGAATATGATCACTCCTTTCCCCACACTGTTTTTTAACTTGTCAAGTGTCAGAAGAAGTCTTTTCTGAGTCACCCTGTCTACTATACTTAATTCCCTCTTTCACTCTCTCTTTTCCTTTCCCCATGAAAACCTTATACTGAAAATTTTGTCTTTATTCTTTTTTTCTTTCTCCCTTTTAACATTAAAACTTTTTCTCTCTTTTTTCCTTTTCCATGTGTCTGGATAAACTGAATGCCATTTGTTAATGAAAAACTGGTCTGAAGAGATGGACAAGAGTTCCATGAAATAAATTTATTACCACCTGACCTGATGGATTTTTAAGGATTCTGTATTCATTATTATATTGCTTTGTTATTACATTGGGCTCTCTGTGGATTTATATCCTCCTTTGAATTATCCCTACTAGTCATCAATTGATATATATATATATATATATATATATATATATATATATATATATATAGAGAGAGAGAGAGAGAGAGAGAGAGAGACAGTGGCGCAATGGATAGCAGCTCAAACTGAGGAATCAGAAGGCAAAGTTTAAACTCCATGAAAGTTCATTACATTCACTTATGTGCTAAAACCCTTGGGAAAGGTATGCATCCATCTCTTCTCCCTCCAGCTATGGTTGAATAGCAGGACAGACTGTGTCCTATAGCCTTGGATGGTGAATGGTCTAGGAGAAGGACAACTCTGAATTTAAAACCTGCAGAGGCATACTGTGCACCAGTTCTCTGTATTCAGTTCTTCCAAAAAAAAATGTGGTTGGTTTTGCACAAGCCTTCACCATTATAATCAAATGATATGTGTGGGTAGTCTGGCTGTTGACCATGTGGGTCAAGCAGCTCAGTCCTTAGAGACTGAGCTGCTTGACCCTCATGTATCAAAAATGATGGGAGAGACCAGCAGTGTGTGTGTGTGTGCATGTATATATATATATATATATATATATATATATATTTTAGATTTATTCCTATTATTTATTATATATAAAAGAAAAAATAGATATAATAAATAATAGCAATAAATCTTACTTGTTAACAAAGTTTGTAAAACAGACATTTTTTTTAAGGTATAATTCATTTCTGTCTTCTTGTTAGAAGAGTTCCTCTGATCCTACCAGGCTTTCTTTCATTAAGCAGACCAGTTCACCATTAGTATGAAGGAACTGTGATAATGGTGATTTTCTAAGTGTTGCTTAGATGTGGTACAAGGGCAAAAGTATGGGACATGCAGCGAGGATTGAACTCATTATTCAGTCATAATTGTTCTAGTGAGACAAGCTTGCTAATCATTACACCACACCAAAGTGCCCCAGCAACTGTGATAATGCCTACTCTTGGACTCTTTCTAGTGTTAAGTTTATTTATTTGGGTAAAAAAAAATTTGAAAGAATTTATCTTTTTTTTAGTAAGTGAGGATAAGTTTAATGAAAAAAAAAATTGCAGATTAATATATGCAATTTTAAAAATGACAAAATTTATTTTTGAAAACATATATTAACAATGTCTTATCAAATGATTGTACAAAGTTAAAAAAAAAAAGTCTTACGTGATTGCTGGGAGACTTGGAAATCTTCAAATCGTGTTGAAACACAATAATTGACAAGATCTGACAACTCTTTTGCAAGTTTATGTTTTCGTATGGAACCATCCTGAAAATAGAAGTCACTCCAAGAATAGTAACATTCCAAAAATATCAGTGTGTTTTCTCTTAAGTTTTTAAAAAGGGAGAAGTCCAAACACACATGAATCTTTATGCATTTAAAAATCTAATTACATCAATGACTATAATCAAATATAATAAATTATTTTCCTATAAATGGATTTTAAATCTATTAAACCTGAAAAAAAAAAAAAAAGGAGAAAAAAACCTGATCTCCCAGATCAATTTTTATTCATGGAGTTGTTTTGAAAGTCAATTAAACAAATCAACATGCAAAAGACAATGAAGAAAAAATTCAACTTGCTATATTTCTTGTGTAATACACACCAATAATTTGGCAAGGAATATTTTAGAAAAACCCTAATAATATTCAAATCCTAATAAATCTATACTTACATCCCTATTTATGTTTTTTAATTATTCCTTTTGATTTGCAATTGTTATTTAACCCTTTATAATCTATATATACTCTGCCCTCAGCAGGAAATAGATGTTTCAAATAGATGTTTGTCTTGTACTGGTAATTCAACTTAAATCTAATCATGATACAGTGTAGTTTGTGGAGGTGTAGGGATACAAAAGATGATTATCTTCCTTTGACTGAAATGAAATCAACTGAGCATTTACTCTTGAGTTTCAAAAAATGTAAACTTTAGCTCCAACCTAATATATAATTTGTCACGTATAAGTGATGATAAGATAAAGTGATTATTTTTTTTTTTATTTAAGAATGACATTATTCGGGTTAGAGCTGAGATTGTTATGATTTTCAGCATAAGGATGTGATCATTATTTTTGACAGAGTAAATCAAACAGAAACTATGTGGAGTAATACTTTGTGAACAGGATATAGGAATGAAACTGCAAGCAATATTTGTACAATTAATGACAACCAGTTGTGAAATCTTTAATTTAGACAATAAAATCTTTTTATTGCCTGTGTATATTCAAGTAAGCCTAGGGTATTTGCATGCTGTGGTGTGTTCAATGTGGCAAGTTGGCCCACTGGGGACTGAAAAGTACCCCATAGGAGAACATTCTATCTCTAAAGCATTCTGTGTGAGAGGATAAGACTTTGACTTTCTTATATACTACTTTTAGCAATGCCATCTAATGGTTGTTAGAAGTTCTTTGACAGACAATAACCTTACAAGGAAATATAGAAATAATGAAATTGAGAAAAATATTTATGTCTAAATTTACTGATAGAGTACACATAAAATGTATCACATCATTGAAAGAGAAGTTTTATTTTTAACTTTCCATGAGTTACATAGCAGTAAATTGCTATTCAAAGCATATTGGTGCTGATATAAATTGTCTCACTTTCACACAGAAATAGTGTTTACTTTTGATATATTATTAATTACTAGCTATTATCTACGAAAATCAATGTATATATTTGTATATTTATGAAGTTTTCATAAAAAAGCTAAATAGCTTACTACTAACCTGTGGCAGAATAATCAGCAGTTTTTAAAGCAGCCTATTCAATTTACTAGCTTTACAATTGGCCAGGAGTTAAATTGATTTGCATGTTCTTTAAAGCAGTCTTCTCAATTAGGCCTGCTTTCACAGTTTATGATTGGCCAAGAGTGAAATGGATTTGCATGTTCACTGACCTACGATACAGGCCTGGCCTCATTCAGTGGAGTGGAACTTTTTTCTCAAAAAATAAAGAACAGCATGTAATATGCGAGCACTTTGTCCAATGATTTAAGTCACCATTTTCTTTGGTGCAGAATTATTACAATACATGATAGACATAAACTTGTCACAAAGTGCTGAATACAGTGCTTTGAAAAAATTTAATTTATTCAAGGTAAGTTTTATACAAGGTATCACCTGTGGTATACTGAAGTGTCAGTTTTTGTGTGTTTATGATTTATGCCATTAATGTTGCTGAAGGCAACATCTGGTTGCCTTCAGTGATTTCCTCATTGAGCAAAGAATATAAATATTAAAAGTCAATTGAATTCCAGGAGAATGCATTTTAAAAATGTTATAAATGTGATAAGAATGTGTTTATTTTTATTTAGCAAGATTCAGTTCCTGATTAATATATTGACAAAGAGATTATATACCTTTTATATAAAAGATGTCTAAGGCTAAATTTTGTCTGTGTGTCCCCACCTTACATCAATTGAAAAACAGCCCAGTTTGCACTGGTATTTAAAGTGGCAGGATATGACATGTTATCTTTTTAATGTGGGATACCCATGAGTGTATACATGGGTCCAAGACAAAAAAAATACCACTGTCATGTTGGTGTTGGTATTTCACTAACCTTCCATCTTTAGTGCAATGAGAGATGCTGATGCAGGGTTAGAATCCCAAGGATTAGTCACCCACCAGTTTTTTCTAGGAACTGTCTGAAGACAGAAACATGGCAGTGAGGTGTAGAACAGATTCTGCATTTTGAACCCAGGCTGAAAAAAGCCATACTGCTGATATTTTCCTATCTTTAAGCAATGTTTTTGCCAAAGTTATTTTATTTTTAATTCACCATGTTTGTATAGATATACTTGCCTTGTCAAAAATTAATTAATAAAAAATCCAACAGCATTCATAATAAGAATTGTTGTCAACTGATATTTCACATAGCTACTATTTTGTCAAGCAAAACCAAAAGTATTTTATGGAATTATGTAAATAAGTTAAAATAATCTGCTTAATTAGATTTTCTTAAGTGTACCAAATTATTTAAACAAGTTTCTTGAATTATTAATGTTAATACATTGTAAAATTATTCAAAATTTTTTATATAGTCTGCTCTATGTAGCTATGTCCAGAGTAGGAAATTCAAGTGGATTGAACATAATGACAAAAACTTTAGAAGATAAATGTCTTGCTGAAAATGTTTATAGAGTGTGTTTGTTTGATTTTGTTTAGCAGCATATCAACACCTCTGTGGGTTATTTAATGTCAAAATCTAAATATTTTGACCTCAATTTTATGGCTTTTATGACAACTTACTTTTCTTTGTTCATAGAATGGGTATTTGGCTGGTATTAATAATACATGCTGCTTATATATATATATATGTGAACACAAAGAACCAATAATAATTAATCTTTTTATAAAATGGAAGATATTGTAAATTTAAAATCAAATTCAATTAATTATGGTTAGTAAAAGAACAAATGACATTAGCTATTCCTTCAAAATCAACGTTGTTTAAGCAATAGCTGAAAGAAAAAATATTTTAAAAAGGGAAAGAAAAATAATAACACATGGTTTTATGTAAAAAAAAAAATTGGTTAATTAAAATGTCAGTACAACACTTCTGTAGATATAGTAAGTTTATTTTATCTTTTTCTATACACTATGTTAGATTTTATTATGCATGTCAATATTTTCGCAATAAAATTGATATTAATCAACTCATTTAAATGAAATTTTCAGGATATAACTTATTTTGGGATGTTAGTTTTTTTCTATAATAAAACCTAGATGCAATTAAAATTTTTATTTATAAATAAATCTAAAAAATAGAGGCTAGAGAAAGATATTTGATTAACAATAATCCATACAACTAAATAAATTCTTATTACATATTAACATGTGCTCTTTGACATCTATAACCAACATCATTTTTTCAACCATAGATTTTGTTAATTTTTCTACTGTCCCAACTTTAACATGACTTGCAACATTTTTTATTGGGAGAAAGAGAGACTGTGTGTATGTGTGCACATATTTGCATAAGTGCTCCATACTTAGGCATAGGTGGAGAATGAACAACTTGCATGCTCCTTTACAAATATTTTGATCACAGATAAGTTCCTTAATCTAAAACAAAAGGTTCTCAATGGTATGAAGTTTAGAAAAAGATAAATTATATCTATATTTTGATTTACAAAAGAATTTGGAAAAAAAAAAAAAGAAAAACTCTCTAAAAGTATACGGATTAAATCATTTTTTATCTGACAATTTAAGCTTCTTACATTTTATCTAACACACCAAAATAACCAAATATGGAAGCCAAACTGCACATACTTTATCCTATATAAGGCACACTTACAAAACAATTCCCAAAATTACTACGGCTTATATCTTGATGATAGGGTTCAGGTATAAAATAATTAAAAAAAACTCCTAACATTAGGTATCTCCAAAGATTTTCTAAAAAAAAAAAAAAACAGTATAGTATGATGAAAAAGGCCCCAAACTTGATAAAAACAAAGTTTTATCATCAAAATGCTTATGTTATTATTAAGAGGAAAGACCAAAGTATTTTTTTCATTATTTTATTAAATTTTTTAATCCTTTCTAGCATGTTAAAAATTTTGGCTAAAAATCTTGTTTTTCTTACATCAGCGGGTTAACCAAAGATATGAGAAATTTAGTGACTTTTTTTGCAGTAAAAATCATTGATTTGGAAATTCTTGCAAAAAAATCAAATAATTGTTGAGTTTTAATTAAATTTTCCAGGCTTTTATGCCTTAAAATAGAGATTACTTGCACAAAATTAAAGCCTAAACATCTGTTTTGCACACTAATCCCTTTTTGAATTCAGGACTTTATGAAGTGCAGTACTAGATTGGTGGAAAGATCAAATCATTTTACACTTGAAATGGCTAGATGTAACCTTAAGTTCTATGCTAACAGTTTCTTCTCTTGCACTTCTCTCTTGTGGAACTCTATTCCAGCTTCTTGCTTTCCAGTCAACTTTGATCTTCAAAAATTTAAATGCAATGTTCGTTGGTATCTTCTGTCTTCTTAATTTCTGTTCTTTTATTGTTCACTCTCCTCAATAGTGCTTTTTTTCTCATGTTCTCTAACACTCAATAACCCTTTGCATTTTAGTGGCTTTATTGCCTTGCTTGGGGCGAAATGATTAAAAAAATTATGATTAAAAATGTTAAAATACTGTTTCCTTATAATTTAGTATTCATTGACTCACTGGTCAGTACTACTTTTGGTTGGAGTTTATAAAAATCTTTCTATTAAAACAATTTTTCAGTAAAATAGATTTCTCAATTCCAG